GAGTGAGCAAAGCCTTGTTTTCACTCTTTCGTGTTAACAGAAAATACTGTATCACATTCCTCCTGCCACCTGACATTCTCCAGTTTTCCCATAGTCTCCCTGCCCTTCACATCTCCAGACAGGCATGAAAAGTCCCACAAATCCCCACATAATGGTTCACAACAGGCTTAATCCTTCCCATGTGCTCGAGATGTGTATGCTTTCCCAGATATTGCAATGATGACATCATTAAAATATACTTACCTCAAGGAGGTAATTTTAAGAAAAAATCCTAAAGCAAAGTGTCTCAGCTGTGGAAGTTCCAAATCATATTGTTTTGTGATGGATCATCAAGAGACAACCATTTGCACATTGACTACCTTTGTGTTCCTGCGTCTTTGTTGAGGAAACATGTTACTTCCTTCTAAGCGTAAAGTCAGCCTTCTGCTTAGTTCTTCTTGGAGAACTGTGTGGAGTGTCTGGTGCCTCACCCTTTCAAATGCCCAACTCAAGGCCTTCATTACTTGATCAGAGACAGTGGAGAGTGGGGCTAAATAATGGAACACTACATGTGTACTTCAGCAATACAAATAAAAGAGAATTTGTTCTTATAATGTAATGAAATGGATACAATAGTTATTACAGATTCATATTGTGTTTTCAATAAAAGGTAAACCATTCTGCAGCAAATTTAGGATTCTTCTAACTGCCATCCTATATGATAAATTCCTTCACATGTCTGTCTAGTCAGAGAGGAATTCAACAGTAAACATAGATTCACAAAACTAATTTCATTTAGCATTGTCTGTTAGACTAAATGCTATACTTAATCAGAATTGACTTGATAGCATGTAATTATTTAGGTGACAAGGCTTCAGTCCTGTGCACACCTTCTGAGGAGTAAGGGCCATTGAACCAGTGGAGCTTGTGTCTTATGACATGCCTAGGACTGCTTTGCTAGTCCCACTTGTAGCCAGTCCCCCTGAGTTAATTTGGTCTATTCTGTGATGAGATTGGTTAGGATTGTGCCTAAGCATCATCAGTTAGGCACACAAACTGATCAATTAAAAAGCTTCAAATGTGCATTTAAAAATCATTGCTTTTTGTGTATTTATTCATATGAAGCCACGGGGGCTTAATAAAACTGGCAAACAGAGGAAACTGTGGAATATGTTCACATAAGATTTGGTTACTCCTTTCTTTAAGTAAACAATCAAAATCTCTAAAATAATTAATTTACTGCTTTCAGATGGATGGCCCAAAAAGAGGTGTCAGTGAAAAGGGATTACACAGCTATTCCATCTTTTCCTCAGAAATGTGTTGTCTGTGCTGAGAATAAAAAAAGACAAAGACTAACTTACAAAGTTAAGAGTGGAAATTAATGATAGCTGCACTCTCCACAAAATGCTACCGAGAGACGGGGAAAAGAATCACACAAGGCAACCTTGATCGAAAATGATCCCGGCTGAGGGTTACAGTAAACATACAATATTATTGGTGGCATCTGCATAAAATGTGGTTACTTACCCTCCCCTGCGGTGCAACATACCCATAGCAGGAGCAGAGCTGTAGAGCCCGGCCAGGGTAGAGCCATCCT